ACTCATCTATGGTAGTTCCTAACACTGGGCATCTGCTTTTACTTTTACTATGGTAAATTTGGTATTCGCATCTCTTTGAACAGAAGCTTAAGCTTATGACCAATGAGTAGTTTATCCACAAATTGTCCTGTATCCTTTATGTACTTGTAGCATCCCAGCTTTCCGTCAGTGAGTAATGCATGACCAAACTTCTTTTGCATCTTCTCTTGTGTAGTTTATGTAGTCTTAGTTTGTGGTCAAAGGGTAGCTCATCACTAAATTTGTGCTGCATCCCTTATGTAGTTCTGGTAGTCTCCGTTTATGGTCAGTGAGTAATTCATCACCATACTTGTCCTGCATCTTTTATATAGTTCTGGTGTTCTCAGCTTTCATTCAGTGGGTTATTCATTACCAAACGTATCCTGCAACCCTTATGTAGGTCTGGTAGTCTCAGTTGGAGGTCAGTGAGTAGATCATCACCAAAGTTGTCCTATATCCACTGTGTATTTTTGCCAACAACGCCTATTATATAAACATAAATATTGGTAATTTCAGCATCCAAAGTGTCTACTACAGATTCTAAATATATGATTTTCGATTTTAATTTTTCTTGATTTTGCTTTGGTTCTAGCCACATTATTATTGCTACCTATCAATTTATGGCAACATTGTAATTTTTTTCAACTATTTTCATCTTTCTGTTTAAATTTCTGGTTTATTTTTCAATATGCTTAAAGTTCTGATCCCTTTCTTAGTTACGTTCAAATATTGTTAATCCGTGGGATTTTGGCTTTGGTCCATTTTTTTTCTATCTCTTTAATTCATGCTTTGTTCTGGTGTAATTATCAGAGAGTTGGACTGCGAATAAAAGGGTGTAGAGTTCGAGATGTCATACCGTTGAACACTCTTCATACTTTCAACTGTGAACTGTGGGCAGTTTTTAAATGTAATATTCAATTCCGTTATTAGATCAAAATACGTGATAAAGCCCTTGTAGCGGGGGGGGGGTGCTGCTGGTTGGGCACCTGTTATGTGGTCAGTAGTTCAAATTAGGGACGGATATGCCTGAACCATAGGAGTTTCTGGCCTTGCCATTTGACCCAATGGACGTGAAATGCCTTTCAGATTGGAAATTCCAGTTTTATTTCATTCCTATTTCTGTCGTATTTGTGTTCCTACCTTTCCAACACCATATTATATTTTTTATTTTTAATTTGATGTCTCATTCTTGTTTTTCTATATATGTTCAATTTCGATTCTACTTTTCAAACCAGTAATGATATATATAAATCAATATGATCAATATCACTCATGACAATGGAAGTTATGTTAAATCTGTAACTGTACACTCACAAGCAAAAGTACCCGTCCCCAGTGACAGGAAAAGTTTAAGTTAATCTATCAAGTAATTGTTTGAGCATTTCAGTCATGCTAATAGCCGCTCAACAATAACATTCGGTAAATCTACAGTTTTATTCTTTAGGTTATGTCACATTTTGAAATTTGCATGGTAGTTTCATTAATTACAACAATTTTGTGTAGAATATCCTAACAATTTTGTGTAGAATATCCTGCTTGCGAAATAAAATTTGGCATCAACGTTCGTCAAGTTTGTTCTCATGTCATTTCATACGTGAATGTTGAGCTTTGCCTGCGTGCGCAGCTTTTATAGCGGGAGACAAACGAATGCTCGGACAGACAACACGGTTCGCAATATATATAAGATGTCCATTGTTGAAAACCTGTTATTCAAGACTTACAACCAGGTACGATCACTCCCACTCATGACAACATATTATTGTCAAGCAGTAACCATACACAGACAGTCCCACTTTTGAAAAAAAATTGTTAAACCTGTAACCATGCACAACCAATCTCATTCTTAACAAAATAGGCTAAACCTATAACAATGTGTAGTCTATTCCATTCCTGATAAGTATGTTATGTTAAACAAGTAACTACGACCAGTCATTCACATTCTTGACAAAGGATGTAAAACCTTAAATATGTATAGTTAGGCTGGTTAGCCTCATTATTACAAAAATATACGATGACGGGTAACTATGTATAGTTATTTACATTCTTAACAAAGTTCATATTTCAAACCTATAACCATTTCCAGACATTTTTCATTACTTATAAAGTATAATATACATGTAACCATCTACAGTCGATCTCATTCTTAAATATTTTTTATACCTATAACTAAGTGCAGTTAATTCCATTCTTGACAAAGTATGTTATGTTGAACCTGTAATCATGTACAGTCATTCCCATTCTTGACAAAATGCAATATTTTAAACCTATAATTATGTGCAGTTAGTAAGCTTAACATATGCGATAAAAATTACCTAAACGGCAGGTGTTTCTTTTTCTTTTACATTTTTGTTAACTTGCCCATTTCGAGATTATGAAATAAGTTGCTTACCGTAGACACACCCTTATCTCGAACATTTCGCATACAAAAAACACTAATTTACAAACTCTGTTGATATGTTTAGTATTGGTAGAAATTGACAGCTACTTACCAACTAAAATACACCTCATATATTAGAATTCTCATATTCTCACTTACATTTGTTATTGTTTCCTAAATCATTAGTGACATGGAATAGGAAACCTTACTGAGTAAGGTCAGTTAGACTGACAAAACATTAGCAGCAAGTGTTACGTGCCACTTTATTACTATAGTTAGAATAGTTTGTACTTAATTATAGGGAAAATATCGGTTGGTGATAGGTAAGTAAAGGCAGCGTGAGCCCACTTTTGAATCCGCGCCTGATCCCATTCTTGACAAACAATGTTATGTTAAACCAGTAACCCTGTACAGTCAATCCCATTCTTGACAAACAATGTTATGTTAAACCAGTAACCCTGTACAGTCAATCCCATTCTTGACAAACAATGTTATGTTCAACCAGTAACCCTGTACAGCCAATCCCATTCTTGACAAACAATGTTATGTTAAACCAGTAACCCTGTACAGCCAATCCCATTCTTGACAAACAATGTTATGTTAAACCAGTAACCCTGTACAGCCAATCCCATTCTTGACAAACAATGTTATGTTAAACCAGTAACCCTGTACAGCCAATCCCATTCTTGACAAACAATGTTATGTTCAACCAGTAACTCTGTACATCCAATCCCATTCTTGAGAAAGCGTATTCTGCCGAACGTGAAACCATGTAACTTATGTCATGTAGTAAATTTTTAAAAAAAAGTTTTTTAATGCCGATAAATTGTTCGTAGAACCGTTGATGTATACAAAAAGATGACTCATAATTTGTTTTTGTTTTTTGTTCTTAAGCACAAAGCGACATAATGGGCTATCAGTTCTGTGTGTACCACAAGTATTAAAGTATTAGGACTCGTTTTTTAGCGTTATGAGCCTTCAGATAAAACGGTGTCTTTAAAAATTGTAAAAGATAATCATTATTTATATATATTTAAATATACAAAAATAAACTTCTGATACATGAATTACACAAAGAAAAACAAAGAAGACACGAAATGGTACTGTAACAGTTCTGGTTTTAATTAATGGTTGGTAATGTTTTCACATATTTCTTTAAAATCTTAAGGTTTGGTTACTTGCTTTTCAATTAAGTTTGATAAAAAGCAGGATATGATGTGCGAAAGCGTTATCAAGTATCAAATATAATCAGAATGATTCCAGTACTATACTATTTCATTTACTTAATTGTCTCATGATGACTTAATGGATGAATTACTCAAATGTAGACTGTTTCTCACCAGTCCTTTGAAAAGAAAATTATATGAAGTATAGTTGATACGCATAATTAGATAGTGTGTGTGTGTGTGTAAAGTTGAAATGTCAGCTTCAGCGTATGTGTGTTCTTGGTTTCTTATAATTATATAGTACGCATAATATTACACTGCGCAACCGCTTTAAGCTGAGGATGCGTTATAAGAGTCACAGTGCAATTCTTTAGCGTTGATGGTGGGTGGCGAGAAGCTGACGACTCGTTGCCTTCCCGTAGGTCAGTAGTCAAAGTTATGGACGATGGCAGAAAAACAAAGCAGCTTTGCCACAAATACAAATTTAATTAACACACTTTGAAAAAGTATCCACCAATAGATAACACTTGTTTCTTGACTATATATAGTTAATACAGGTAATATATACATATTTGATACGGTTTCTTTGTTTTGTTTTAAACTGAACTTTGAAATAGATTTCGTATTTCAACATTATGACTCCCTATACACTAAAACAATAGTCATTAATTTATGTTGTGTGGTGTTCAAGCAACAAAAAGTGATTTAGAGAAACTTTTTTAAAGAAACGTTATAAAAAAATTTTTCATTTTCCCAGTATCGATATGTAAGGCCAAAAAATGTAGCGATGAAGTAGAGTGTTCCTTTACTTGTTTAGTAACTAGATTTCTAAATATAATTGTTTAAGAAGTGTTGCTAAACTACATAAAACCGAAAGTTTCGAAGCTTGCCTAACTGACTAAATCAGTCCTGCTTGTTAACTCTCAGAAGACGAAAACAATAAGGTATAGAGCAAGCTAAGTAACAGTGCGTTGCGGTACTATCAGACTTTACAGAACAACAGCGCTGTATAACAATGAGTAATGTGTTTAAATGAAATGGATAAAGCAAGCTTAGTAACAGCCTATTGAGGTACTATCATACTTTACAGAACAACAGCGCTGAATAACAGTGAGTAATTTGTTTAAATGAAATGAGTAAAGAAAACTAAGTGACAGTGCACTGAGGTTCTGCCAGATTCTACATACTAATAGCGCTGTATTACAGTATGTAGCACTGTAATGAATTATCACACACTTTCAGAGAGCAATTGGATAGAAGCAAGCTATCGGCATCATAGAATTACACTGGATTAAAGAATACCATGAAACTCCAACAGCTTAATTATTTTAGCACAGCCAGTAGCACCAAGAACAGCATTGATTACTTATTTTTTAAAAATATTTTTTAATTCCATCACTAATATTCTTTGACAATCATTATATTATTGAATTTGATAGATATTGCCAAGAATGCCTGTTCCGGAGCTATCTGTCACCCTCAATCGGTATCTTGCCGGCTGCAAGCCCGTTGTTCCCAGCCAGCAGTACGACTACACCTGCCGCTTAGTAGAGGACTTTCTTCGGCCCGGTGGCGAAGGAGAACGTCTCCAAAAAGAACTGCTACAATATGCTGAATCTCAGGAGAACTGGGTAGGCAGACGTATTATGTGTTTTAAATTATTTGAGATGTAATTTAAAACTAACATTATCTTATCTTTTCAGACTTATTACCTGTTAAATCTGAAGTTTTTGAAAAATAACTTTACAAGTAATTTTAACGAAAAGGGTTTTTACTTTTTATGAAATACTGTAACAATTTTGAGGTAAATCAAAAACTTTAAAAAATAATTCAAATAAAAATTATGGAAAACCTTTCAATGCGAGTGTTGCTTAATGAAGTTGCGACTATAGGAAGTTTTACATGCAAAGTCTATCAGCTCAGACGTGTCCATCACTTACTCAGACTTAAAGTCAGGGACTCGATTTCCCGCAGTGACACAGCGCGAATAATCTGTTGTGTAGCTTAACACAAACCAAACAATCAAAGCTTAAGCGTAACATATTATTCAATTGTAAAAAAAAAAAATTATCCTGTTGAATTGAGCAGATTGTTCTACAATCTAACATTTATATGTTAATTTGAGGTATAGGTTCTTGACATAAGAAGTAGCATTTATATTTATTTTATCTTTAGAATGTAAAGTTTGTTCTCGCGAAGAAACATAAACATGTTGGGAGCTCACAAAACAGCGTATCTTATGTTTCTGTCGAGGTGTATAGTAGATAAGATTGTTCTGTCAGTTAAAATATTTAATGGATCAACATGAATGAGAATAAGACCTGAGTAAAAAGATAAATGTTATCAAGTGTGTCTATCTAACTATTTTTTATTCAACTGGTTGAAATTTAACTTAATATGGTGTATGAGCAGTGAATGTCAATATTGGGCCGTAACATGTGCCCTTAATATATACCCGTACGAAACAGAACAACCAAAAACATGCTATGTTTTAAGTTCGATTCTGCGCATGTGCATTACACAATGTTCAGCATAGCTTGTCACCTATTTCATACAATACGTAAATTCGTCCATTCCTCGATCAACTACGCTTTTCACGTACTCTGCAATATATCAATATAAGGCATTACCATCTAATTGCTTATGTTAATTAAAACAAAGTAGGGAGAAAATACATTAATTACAGTGTTCTTTGCGGTAGTCTAATAATGTATTATCGTATGATGGTATATGTTTTAACACACGCACAACTAACAAATTAATAAAATTAACTTGAAATTTTCATTGGGTTCACACTACAGCTACCTGATTATAGTAATACTGCAATCCAATCCAAACTAAATAATTTTAGAACCTCCATTATACATTATGACTGACCTTATGTCGATGCATGTTAAATAAAAACATTATTTTAACATTTACCTATTTAATAATTATACCATATAGTACAGGAGTACCGGAATTTATTTTTTAAGGTGGTACTACTACCGGGACTTATTTGAACTGCTTTTTTAGGAATGCGCGTGCGTTCCACTGTTCCGTCAGAAAGCATTTATCCATTGACACTCAAATTGTCGTTTTTTATGTTTACACGTAGATTTTTTTTTTCAAAAACAGGTCCACTTCACCCAGCTGAATACCTCTATGTTTTGAGAATTTCATCCTTGCAGTTATGTAATTAAATATTATGAAACACGTAACTGACTTTAGCATTATTTTATCTATAAAATAAGTATTAAAATATATCAAAGATATGGCACATGAGACTGTGGTAATCATGAATATGCATGACTGATATGACTAAAGAAAATATACTTTAATGTAATTAAAATAAGTTCATGGCATATGATAAGCCCTCAGTGGCTCAACTGTAAGTCTAAAGGCTTATAGCGCTAAACGAGAGGATTCAATACCAGTGGTGAGCATAGATGACCCATTGTGTAGCTTTGTGTTTAACAACAACAAAAATAGCATATGGTGAAGAAAGATACATACATAATTAGTGTATTTTCTTTCTAAAATATGTACATCTTATAATACAAAAACCTTTATTATATCTATTGCATTTAGAGTTCAACTGTATAAAGTAACACAGAAAGAGGGTTGATTAAGTTATATTAAAGCAATTCTGAATATGTATTGGAACTACATTTTGATATTGTTGGTGTTATGAAAATACTGTAATGTCACCAAAAATGATCGTTTTTGTGAAGGCTATCTAATAGCTCCTTCCGACGAAACAAATTCACACACTCAGATTACAATGATGTGTTCAGCTCGAGGATTTATAATTCCCTAGAAGGAGATACCCACGTAGCAAATAACATGAGAAAACAAAGGACCAAGATTTTGAACCAAGACTATCTTTAAGAAACCTATTGCTCCCACCAGTGACACAGCGGTATGTATGCGGACTTACAACGCTAGAAACCGTGTTTCGATACCCGTAGTGGGCAGAGCACAGATATTCCATTGTGTAGCTTTGTGCTTAACTTCAAACAAACAAACAAACAAGAAACCTACAACAAGTCATATCCTAGCCGTGGTAAGCAAAATCCTGCGTCTTGTAAAAGGTGAGAATTCATGAACACAAAGTTCCGTGGCAAAATCTGTCTACATGTCCAGACAATACTTCACAACACAATCAAGAAGCATGGAAAAGCAACACGAGTCACATGTACAGAAGATGTTTTAAAATGGAACAGGTATTCATACTATTTCATACCAAGACATATGGGTCAAGTCTCCTGTCTATACTATCGGATTGTTAAAACAGACACTGAGAAAACCATCATCCTCGTACACTAGATGGATTATGAAGACAAAAGGAGTTGTAATGGGGCTTTTCATATGGCAACCTTATGATGGAGACTTTTGAAACAAAACTGTACTGCAGAGCTAATTTCGTGATGTTTGACTGTCAGCTAAAACATGATCGCCTACCGATGACTCATCGGTAAGTCTAAGAGCTTAAAACGCAAAATATCGAGTTTTCTGTGCAGTGGACACAACACAGATATCCCGTCACGTAGCTTTCTTGATAATAATAATAATAAAAAGAAAACATAACCAGACGTGGCGACTTGGATTACAAAAATGTGGTGAATCGTTTTATTATAATAAACTCAACTTCTTTAGTGTTCCTTGCAAATTATCATCCAATTAACAGTTAACTTTCAAAACTGTGAAAGTAACAAAAATTATAAAATATCCTACACCATCAGGATATTTCCATTACGGAATAGGGCATAACATGAGATGACAACGCTCATTAAAGAAGAAAACATCATCCCATGACAATATATTCACTACGGAAAGAGATACAGCATTAAACTACAACGTTCACACAAAGTCAATTACAGCACAAGATAAGAACATCTATTACAGAATAGGATACAGTATCGGATGACAAAGATTGTCATAGAATACGATATGTTATTAGATGACAACATACAAAACAATTTACATTATCAAACAGGACATTTAGTACATCCTCAGATGATGATTTTCACTACACACCAATAAAAGACAATGTTTGTTACAGAATAGGATACAGTATCAGATGACAAAGATTGTCATAGAATACGATATGTTATTAGATGACAACATACAAAACAATTTACATTATCAAACAGGACATTTAGTACATCCTCAGATGATGATTTTCACTACACACCAATAAAAGACAATGTTTGTTACAGAATAGAATGGGTCATAACAAGGCAACGTTCATTACAGATTAGGATATAGCACCAATCAGATTACAACGTACAATTTAAAACAGTATACAGCATCATACAGAATAGGATAAAGCACCACATATCAATACCCATTACATAATATGAGACACAATTAGATTACAACGTTTATTACAGAACAAGATAAGGCACCAAATGTCAGTTTTCAATACATAATATGAGACACAATTAGATTACAACGTTTATTACAGAACAAGATAAGGCACCAAATGTCAGTTTTCAATACATAATATGAGACACAATTAGATTACAAGGTTTATTTTCTCATAAAAATGCAAAATTATAATAACGTTATTTCAGCTTTTAAGTCTATTTTCGTCTTTTTTTAAACATACTACATGTTAAGTTTTCAAACCTATCTACAAGTCTATCATTCTGCAAGTTATTTTATTTATGTACATGTTTTAAATATAGCAAGTTTATATTTAATAATTAAACCTTTTATAAGGTTTAAAGCCAAATCCGGTGTCCAATACTAACGACATTTATATTGTGAACGTAGGAAAAACTCACATTTTGAAAATTTTAAGTAATTCTTTAAGTTCATAGAAGTTAAATTATTGAAATATTCCACTCATTCATGTGATGATTGACCTCATACACGCCTCTTTTCATGTAATGTTACATATCATGCATCATGCTATTATTGAAATAAAAACTTAAAAATGCTTTATGTTGTATTACTTGACATTACAAATTTGTGGCTTTTTTTCCTGTGAATTTTTTTCCTAGCCAAAATTGTGACTTTTTTTCCCTTGACTTTACTTTGGCCACCATGTTGTTAAGATTATCCTTTACACCCACATATAAACCATACTGATATTTGAAGTATAAGTACAGTAATGCTACTATTTCATTCTCTAAGAAAATGAATTATTTGTTCAATTGAAATACAATATAAACTACAGTTCACCACTAAAAATAGATCTGCTCTGTTTTCTGATCTACTTTTGTATAGATTTCCCCCTTCCTGTGGCTCAGCAGCAAGTCTAGGGGCTTATACCGCTAAAAATCGTGTTTTGGTACTCGCGGTCGCCACAGCACTGATCATCCATTGTGTAGCTTTGTGATTGATATCACTCAAACATTTATCTGAAGTTAGTGTCAAGGCGGAGGAGGAATATCGGAAACAGCCTAACTTAATAACCTATGTCAAACCCAAAAATAGACTTTTTACAATAAATTGCATAATGTTGGTGGCAAGAAAAAATTACAGAGTATAAACCGTTTCTCAGAAACTGCCAGAACTCGACGAAGAGCTACTCTGAACACCCGTGAAATATTTTCTACAACTACCGTTTAACCAATATATATATATTTGGCAAATATATATGAAAGCGTTCTTCCCGCAATGTTTGCTATATATACGTTCG